GGCCAAATTTTACAACAAATTTGCTAAACATACTCATTTAAGAAAACTTCACATTCTTAATTATCATTACTCATAGACTAAATAAAAAATAATCAATTAAGCATCTAAATTAAGTGAGATTAACCACCTAAGATAAATAATAGAAGTGACTTTAGTCCAATATATGATTTATTGATTAAAAGATTAACATGTAAAAAAAATTGTAGGTTTTTACTTCAAACTCTTAGCACACATTAGCGCACTAGATGAAATAGAACTATAGCTTCTTTTTAGTGGTTAATATTGAATCAACAATATTGTTGCCTCTACAGTTGTGCTCTGGAGCTAGACTCTGGATTATAACTATAGTTGTTATAGGTTTGACAGTTCATTCTAGTCGTATTATATAAAATGTCAAATCGTTTTTCTGATACATGATAGATTTATAATACATAGTAAAATGTAGCTGTATATTATTATTTTTTTTGACGTACTTGTAGCTGTATATAAACGACGAATCTTGGTGTTTGAATTTAGTTTGGCAAAGTAATACATAACTCCAATACTGACGCAAAGAAAAACAAGAAACTGGTCACACAAAAACACAAGTGTATACAATTGGCCAAAACGTGTTTTCTCATATGAAAAACGAAATCAAACTTTTGGGATCATGTAAAACAAAATTTGCCTTTTAAAGTCCAAATGAATTCATATGCCACCGCCCAGATTCTTACATGTCTTAACTTTATATGTTTTGATTAGTATTTTTTCTATGACGAATATATAGTATAATTCAATCGATTTATAAGTTACAAATAAGAATAAATATAATCAAAATTCGAAAAAACGGCCAAATATGAAAAATATAATTGATAGAGTAGTAAGGAAACCTTTTTTCTCTTTTTGTAGAACAACTTGACCATGAATGTTTGTGGTTTTTAAAGTAATTTTTGAATTTGCTTCTCTTTTCGTTTGTAAAAAAGTATTAATTAATATATACTTTGGATGAGACTTGAATAAATTGACAGATATCTTTTGTTTCTCTTTTTTCAGTTTTTTTGTGATTTTTCACCCAATTTTTATTTTAATGCAAAAATACCACTTTTAATGTGTCTAATTGCAAAAATGTCATTTGAGATTGTTTATTTGCAAAATCTTAAACCTTCAAAACTAAATTTTAATAAAATATAGTTAATCCAAACCTAAATACTATAATGAACAAATAATTTTGAACATAAATATTTTAGAAAAGTTGGTCATTTTTTTTTTAAATTTGTCTTTAGTAAATCAGTTGCCAAGTTGGTCAAAAGTC